ACAAAATCTTCCAGCAAACAGAAACGGCACAAGAACTTTCCACCTAATACTTAGGTCTGTCTGAAACCATGTTTAAGAACAGAGTTCTTTTTAAATAACCGGCTTTGGATCTATTTTTTCAGATTCTACCCAGCTATTTAGCAGAGTATAGCGTAAAATATTTCTTAAGGAAAATCAACTCTTTCATTGTAAAATGAAAGGGGCTAGGATGCAATTCTCCAGGCCTGTTCTGTGACCGAACAAGGCCCCCCAAGGGTAGAGTTGCTGAAACTGTCATCCGGGAAACTCTAGCTGATCCTTCCGGCTCTTGCAATCCTGTTCTTTGGAAATAGACTGGGTGGACTGATTCTCAGGGTCCCTTCTTCTAGGCGCCCCCGTAGCAGTGATGATCCAACATCCTCAGGTCTCAAAATTTTTGGTCACGGAAAATGGGGTGCCGTTAGTGTCACTGCCAGTGGGAAACAAGGTACTGCGTACTTAATCCAGGTCTTTTGGTAACTGGCGTGGGTCTTTGGTTTCAGGATCGCCCCAAGCCAATTCTCTCTTTGGAGACCCAACCCTCTAGAAGTCAGACCTCATCAGACCCCTGACCTAACTTGTGAAAGTTTCTCTGGCCCCTGAGATGGAACCCCCTGGCTTGTCAGTATAATGCTGGACGGTCAATAGGCTGATTTTTTTTTTCTGAAAAGCCTGGCAGGCCACCATGCTCGTAAGGCTCCAATCTTGCTCTAACTACTACTTTACTCTCCATTTCTCAGACAAAATGCCATTGTTTGCTGGTGGTCAGTTCTCACTGTTTGGAAAGGCACACGGTCTACTTCAATGTAAGCTTACCCTCAGAATTTCTTTCTGAGCCACTAGGGTCCTGTTTCTGAGCCTAACGAAGCCTTAGGATGTAACTTCCTGCCCCAGGCAAGCTGGTAAACATTACAGCACTTTATCAGAGGTGCTGGTTGGGTTTTCTGTTTGATTTTTTTTTTTTTTTTTTTTACTACCAGGCACGTACTCACTTGCTAAGGTTCTGTCGAGATCAGCAATAAAGTCTTCTAGCTCTTTCGTGTCTCCTAGTTTGGCTGAAAAACAAGAGTTGGGGCTCAGTTTCCATATCCAAGACAGCTGATGACTCCGACTTTTCCAGAATTATGCGACCCCATCTCTTTGTCTTCAGAGACTTTATTAAAGAGTGTCCTGTACCAACCCTAAGTGGCTGCTCCAGGGTTTACTTATAGTCAACTCGGAAACTTATTCTGAAGATTAGCCTAAATGTTTCTTTCTGGTTTTTGTAGTTCATCACCCACCCCCATACCCCACCCCTATCCCAGCAACCTGGAAGAAGTATCTCCCTTCACTACCTTAAAAGTTGGGAGATGCGGGGAGACAGGGACAGGGAAGGAAGATTAAAAGTTTGAACTTTTTGATTGTGTAGGATTTGAGTTAGTCAAAATATTCGGGGAGCACGGCACTGTGTGGAATGGACACCCAGATTTCCTAATTCCTGCTAAACTTCTCCCCTGACGCAATTTTGTTCATGCTATCACTCCAGGGCAATGCTTCAGCCCTCATGGTACCTCCAGGATGGAATGAACTAAGCACTACAGTTCTGTGTCAAAATGGTACAGAGAAGGCGACAGGAAGCTCCTGGGTCTAGACAGCCTCATCCCATCCAGGTGCCAGCACAGAGTAACAAGTCCTCATTATGATTTTGTTCCCTCTATATCCTGAGACATGTACTTCTTTCTGTGTATCTTACTTTTTTCTCTAGAGTTCATCATTCATGCCCTCTCTGAATGCACTACTGGATATTTTCATTAATTAGCCCCCGCTGGCCACAAATAGCTCATTGTTCTTAGCTCTTAAAGTCAATTTGCCACTAGGGCTTTCTTCTCCTCTTTAATTTCTACCTCTTGAGGATCAGGTAACAAATCAGGGCACATTTTAAGCCACTTTCTAGACTGTTCTGTCTCTCTCAATTCAATAGATCCATTACAGATGAAGGGCTGGACAACGGCAGAGTCCCCTGTGGCTGCTAACATTGTTATGTTGAGAAGAGAATTTTAAAATGTCCTTTTGAAAAAGGGGGAAATTCTGCCTTCATGCCGGAGGGAGAAAATGATGGAATCTTCATATTTCTTTTTAACTATGTTCCACTTTTATTGCATTCTGCAACTATTTTCAGCAAGTATAATGTTTCTTAAGGGAAAAAAACTGCTTTTGTTTTCAAAAGGGCAGTTGCCCAATATAAAAGAACATTCAGCTCTCTGGCTGGAGACACTTTACTAGTTCCAAAATATAAGAAACTGCTCATGCGTCTTTAAAAACCTTCTCGGCCTATTAATATCACAGTAGAGGCAGGATGGAGCTGCCATTCTGAATTATGTTAGATCATTACTTGTTTCTTAATGATGACCCCATTTAATTGCTAAATTGGTCATCTGAAAGCATTAGTTAAAGAGTTAATGCAAGAAAAAGAACCCAACTTTCTGCAAAGCCTAACTGCTGAGTTTCACATTCTAGAACCAGGCACTGTCATTTGACACTGTCTTGATGACACCACAAGACAGAAAGCAAAGTCTAGAGTCTAAACGTCTTTTCTCCCTGTGAATTTGGTTTCCTGCCCCCCAGTTATCTGATTTCACTTTCACGCTGATCAAAATCCTGAGAAATAACAAAATCCATTCCATGCTGTACTATACTAAGATACTGGTCTTCTCTATTTGTTTTGCACATTTGGGAAAGATCAGTTAGGGGGAAGGGGGAAGAAAGAAGAGGCTGAGAAGCAGGAGGAGGGAGGAAGGAAGCAAAAACACTCACAATCCAACTAATGAACTTACCTTTCCGAGGAGGGACAGCGGGAGAGAGCAGAGCTGGAGTGCTGTCTGTTGGAGAATTCAGTTTTTCATCACTGAAGCTGAAGCTGTTCCTATAAAGTGAATCTGCACCTTTCCGGAAAGAGAACGTAACTCATTAGAAACGATTTTCAGTCTTATGGTCTATTGCCAACCAACAGTTTATCTCCCAAAGGAGCAAAGTTATAAAGAAAATAGGCTGGTTTCCAGATTTTATATTTATGCCCCCAAATGAGTTGAGGCAGGAGAGTGTGCCTGTATATGTGTGTACGTGTCTTCAATCAGGCACACCAAAGGCCCTTGCTTCCCTAAAAAAAAGAAGCGGGTGACAGGATCATGACCAAACCAGCCTCCTTTGTGACAAACCGGAGCCCACTGCCCAGTGGGCGTCTAACTGACAGCTAAGCCAATGCTTGGCCGATGAGGGCGAGGGGCTTCCCTTGGGATTTGAGACATAAGGAACCATCTTTCCTGAAAAATGTCCCTTCTGCCCTCTGAACCCCCTAAAATACAAAGACAAGGTTGGATCCCATGACTTGATAATCCTCCCTGCCTGCTCATGAGAGAGTCTTTGTCATGGTTTTCCTGAGCTCCTACATTCTGGGGATAAGCTAGAGGGTCAAAGATAAAGATTTCTTCTCCCACAGGTTGTCTATTACAGTTTGGGTGATTTGCTGCCTACATTGTCATACCCTCAAAGACCAGAGCAAGAGCAAGGCAAGGTCCCAGAAGCAGGGCCGAGCTGAGTTAAGGAAACCAGCCCAGCTACTAAGTATTCAGATGCCCTTGAGAAGATAATGTCTCTGGGCCTCAGTTTACCCATCCATAAAATGGGAAGCTGGACTAAATAATCCTTAAAGTCCCTTCCAGCTCTGAAGTTCTGAGATTCTATTTCTCTAAGTTCTGCCAAGGGGGAGGAAACCAACCCACGGCCAGCCAGCTGTGTGGCTGTGACAGAGAAAGGAACTGCTGGCTGAGCTGCACTAACTCAAAGGCTCAAAGGAAGACCCAGCGGCGGAAGCAGGATGTGGCCTCTGAGGTCACAAAGGAACAGCCTTCCCAGTTAAAACAAAACACAAAGCTAGGCACGACTGTAGCAGAGATGAGTTCTGGGAAGGCTGTTCGGGTGAGAGAGGGTGGCTGAACCATGAGGACCTGGTCAGGCTCCCTGTCCTCCTTGGGATTCGCTCAGTTTCATCCAATCACCTCCAGCTCAGGAAGATGCAAAACCACCTTTCTTTGGTCCCCTTAACTCAAAATGAACAGGACTAAGTTACAAAAGACATGCCCAGGGCTTCCCTGGTGGCGCAGTGGTTGAGAGTCCGCCTGCCAATGCAGGGGACACGGGTTCGTGCCCCGGTCCAGGAGGATCCCACATGCCGCGGATCGGCTGGGCCCGTGAGCCATGGCCGCTGAGCCTGCGCGTCCGGAGCCTGTGCTCCGCAACGCGAGAGGCCGCAACAGTGAGAGGCCCGCATACCGCAAAAAAAAAAAAAAAAAGACATGCCCAGAATAAAAAAGGGTTTTCAGAAGCAGAGGTTTCTGGTCCTAGGAGAATTCCTCTTCATCCCTAAAGACTGCTCCAAGTTCCTGGAGCAGTTCCTGAGGCCTCCTTCCTGGTCCTCCCACCCTCCCCTGACCAGGTGGCCCCAGGGCCATCTTGTCTTCCTGGCCGACACACCCATCGCATTCAGTTTTCCAAACATGCCCAGCCCTCACAGTCGATTCTTCCTTCTTAGGTCCAGCCCGGGTCACCTAAAAGGACAACAACCCTTTTTCAAGGCTTTGATGATGAACACCTACTGAGATCTGAAACACCAAACCTTACCCTTACATTTCCCCAGAAATTACTTCCCAGAATAGTGGTCCTTTGAGAAGAACTTTGTGATCAACGAACTCTAAGAAACACCAAGCACCCCTGGAGAGTCCTCTGATGTAACCCCACTTTAATGTGCCGGAGGCATCTTGTGATAAAGAAACAGACTCAGGGACTTCCCTGGTGGTCCAGTGGTTAAGAATCCGCCTTCCAATGCAGGGGACGCAGGTTCGATCCCTGGTCGGGGAACTAAGATCCCACATGCTATGGGACAACTAAACCTGTGCGCTCTAGAGCCCGCGAGCCACAATGAAGAGACCAGGCGCCGCAACAAAAGATCCAGCATGCCGCAACTAAGACCCAACTCAGCCAAACAAATGAATAAATAAATATTAAAAAAAAAAAAAGAAAAGAAAAGAAACCAGCTCAGCCCTATTTCCCCTGGTTTACTTGCCCTTGGGACACTTTTTCGGTGGCAGCTTTATTAATATTTCTCAAGACGCTTGTACTCAGTGGAAATGAACGTGGGAAGCCCTTCTGCTCGCTTGTCAGCTGGGTCGCCCTCTGCAGCAGTCTGGATTTTCTCAAGGGGAGGCCTTTTCCCTACGCACAGGAAAGTGGTCACGCCCATCGCAGACCTACCGCGTCTCGTTACTGCTTGTCGCCACGTCAGAGTCAGGAGAATCGCCCCCAAATAGAACCCGAGAGACTTGCGGGGAAAAGATGAGGTAAGACTGAGGGGGCAGGAAAACCACAGAGGGCCCTGGGGAAGCAGGCCTCGTGCCCGGACTCGAGAGCCAGAAGAAAGGAGTATGAGGCCTCTGGAACGTCATCCTTGGCTCCAAAGGACACCTGAGAGCATCACCCCCAGCCCTGGCCCAGAGTGCTGAACCCAGGACTCACTGGCAGCACCCCTGGTCTCAGTCTCACCACCACACCCTGCACCGCAGGCCCTTCTCCTGACTTGGGACTTCACCTCTGTTCTGCCCCGACTCTCCATCAATTTTACGTCCATGTACACTCATCCCTTGGGAGGGGGCAAACACACACACACCCACACACCCACACACACACACAATCTCAGCACCAGTTCACTGCTACACTTTGACGTCTCTCTATTCCCATGAGTTCCAGTGCAGTCTGGGCCCAACCTGACTCCAGGCTCCAGAGTGTTCAACCATCAAAAGGAAATGAACCCCCAGCACCCCTGAGCCAAACTTCCTCACAGTTGAGTTCCACCCTGTGTTCATAACTGCTCTACACGTCATTCCCAAAAACAACGACCAGGACAAGCACAGGAGCTCCAGAAGCTGCCACCCTAGAGATGTGTGGCACCGAGGCCGTGTGAAAGCTGTGTGACCCTGTGCAAGTCACTTCATCTCAGAGCCTTAGTTTCTTCTCTTGCGAAAGGGGAATCAGTAAGCCAGGCGCTCCATGTGATACCTATGGTTTTCATTGCTTTTATTCTGTTTTCCCAACAAAATGGAGGAGGACACACTCAGGAGAAGAAAGGTCACCACAGAGAGTAAGAAGACTCAAGATTCTGGGGCCAGGCTTCTTCCACTTCTTCCGATAAATTCCTAAGAGAAAATCTATCATCAGAGGTGTCCTAGAACAAACCTTCCAAGAACAAACCCACAGACACGGAAGTACCCCAAGCTCTAGACTTCTCTTTACCCTTTATCCAATAAAATTTCAGTCCACGGACTTACAGTGAACAAGATTTCATGCTAGGTGTATATTAAAAGGGAAGCAAAGCCTGACTTCCTGTTCTTTTCGTTCCCCTAGAACTCTATTTCTTGAGTTCTAGAAATAACAGCTCATTAGTCTGATAAAGGACAGGAATGTGTCACAGGCTGATAGCATACTAATGTATTGCTGCCCCACCCAATATTAGGTGCTGCCATTAACAGGGGTTCAAGGGACACATAACACTGATGATTTGGGGAACCGCGGCAGGTGGCAAGACCAGATATTTTAGGGCCTTACAACATCTACTGCTATCAGCTCTAAAGCCCCATCAGAAATGTCCTCGGCCAGTCAAGTTGGTGCGCTGAAGCCAGGAACCGCGAATTCAGGGACCAAGTTTTCTAAGACATCATCAAAAGCAATGTGAACATATTAAATATGCAAACATCTAACTGCAGGAGCGCCAGCAGAGCTTGGGAAACTCAGCTACAAAAACAGAGGCTTGTTTAAAAGGTAGACGTGCTTTTTTCGTTTGGGGGTGGAGAGAAAGGTAATTTGGGGTTGGCACCAGCGTGTGCTACTCCAGAGGAAAGGGAAACCACAGACAGTAACCCTGGCCCAGAGCTCCTGTAAATATAGAACAATCCCACACATTTCAGGCAAGCAAACCACAGTAATTAACTGAGAAAAAGAAAGCCTTGGACCTGTTTCCCTTTTGCCACAGGGAATGGTATGCGGGTGTTGGGGGAGGTGGGTTGAATCTCCCCCTCAAAATCTAAATTCCAACAGCCTCCCTGAAAGTGGGATGAAATAAGAAAACGTTTCTCAGTTTCAGCACTATCGCCCCCGCTTCCCTTCTGAGACTGCTCAGTCCCTCTAGATACCCCTCCAGGTGTCAGCCAGTGACACCTGTCACCTGCCTGGAATTCCTAACACACACGGGGACACCCTGAGGGCTCCTAACTCCTCAGTCTCTCCCGCCTTGAACAAGTTCAAGTTCTGGTCTCAGTGGCTCTTAGGCCAGATCAGCCAATAGGCTACCTGTCATGCATGCCCCCCGCCAGGGGCCATACAGTCCCCTCTCCCAGGGCCAAGCTAGAATAGTCGAGGCAAAGAAATACAGACGTTCTAGGTCCTGCACATGCTAAAGAAGCCAGTTCCTCATTCCCTACAATGGCCCTGCAAAATCATAATAGCCCCAGCATACGGAGTAGACTTCAGACATTTTCTGTTAAGTAGCAAAACACTTCCCCGCTCAAAGGAAAAAGGAAACTCCAATCCGTCAAAGATAGAAGTTTGCATCACCTTTTAAAGTTCCAGTTAATATTAGAAACTTCTTATAAAATCAATCGGTGGAATCATAAATTAACACATTGGTTAAAATTTAGTATCTGATGAGTTAAAATGTCATTAAACACATTTCAGAAGCCATGCTGTGCACTTACGGTTTTGAAAATACTGAAAAAACAACAGATTTTTCAAAATACGTTCAAACCAAAGATGTGCACAATGCCTGAAGCACGTCTGAGTATCGCGTTTGAACCTCGCTGCCGTCCTAACTGTGCAGCCCTTTTACGCCAAAGTTGAAACTGCTCTCATGAAAGTGCCTGGTGTTACCTGTTGGAACCGAGATCTAGAAGAAAGAAACAAAAGGAACTATTTTCATCAACCCCCATTTGAATGCCACCCCTAATGTGAAGTTGTCTTGCCACTGTTATTTTGGTCCTCTTCACGTCTTAGAAGGATTCCCAGTACGTGGAAACAGGAAAGAGTATTTCCTTATTAAATATCCGTTCTTCTCTCCTATCTAAGTAACTTGCTTCTCTGGGTGAAAGAAGGAATGTCTACTTTTTCTCCTTTGGATGCAAGCAAGCGAAATATTTTTTAATTGAAGTGCAGTTGATTTACAATATTGTATTAGTTTCAGGTATACAGCAAAGTGATTCATATATATATATATATATATACACATACATACATATATTCTTTTTTTATTCTTTTCCATTATAGATTATTACAAGATACTGAATATAGCTCCCTGTGTTATATAATAAATCCTTGTTGTTTATCTATTTTATATATAGTAGTATGTATCTGTTAATCCCATACTCCTAATTTATCCCTCTCCCCACTTCCCCTTTGGTAAGCATAAGTTTGTTTTCTATGTCTGTGAGTCTGTTTCTGTTTTGTAAATAAGTTCGTTTGTACTACTTTTTAGATTCCACATATAAGTGATATCATATAATATTTGTCTTTCTCATCTTTTTTTTTGTTTGTTTTGAGAGAAAAGGAAGGGTTCTTCAAAAACCAGGAATGCAGTAGGTACATCTTCAGAGTGATGGAGCTGTAAAAGGTAGAGTGAAAACCAAGGTCCCAAGGGTTTAGAGCTTCATACATAACATTTTCACACAAGACGCTGGCTCAAATGTCTCTGACCTATGTGACATAGCGTGACATGTGCATTTTATTATTTTCTTAAAAGCATCAAACAGAACAAATATTTTCTTCCTCATCATGAGCTTATGGATGTTTCTAACATCATCATTAAATAGCATTCTTTCCATTTCACAGCTAGAGAAAATGAGGCCCACTCCTCATGCAGGGCCCTAACAGAGCTCAGCCTGGGCTCCACAGACCCGGCCAGGTGACCACTGCCTTGAAGAGACACCTTCAAACACAACCACCATTGATAAGCAGGCACATGATCCCTGTCCAGTGAGACATCAAGTCTATCCCGGAGGACCTGGTTCACATACCAGCCAACCATCCATGGTGACAGAGCAAGGCCTTAGAGAGAGAGACAGCCCAACTGGTTCCACTATTTTATCAGAAAAAAGGAGACAACAGTGCCTACGTTCCAGGACTGTAGCAGAGATCATATGAGATAACACATTTAAAGCAAAGCAAAGAGACCATTAATGGTTAGAGGTAATAAACAATAATAGTAATCATAGAAAGAGCCTGGCAAAAGAGAGCTGCTCTTCCACGCACCACAACTACTGAAACCCACGCGCTGTAGGGCCCGCGTGCCGCAACTACTAAGCCTGTGCGCCTAGAGCTCGCGCTACGCAATAAGAGAAGCCACCGCAATGAGAAGCCCACGCACCGCAAGGAAGAGTAGACCCCGCTCGCCGCAACTAGAGAAAGCCTGCGTGCAGCGACGAAGACCCAATGCAGCCAAAAAATAAATTTAAAAAAAAGAGAGAGAGAGCTGCTCTTATTATGATCATCCTGGTGTGTCTCCCCTTTGGTGGGCTAAATTTCAGTAGGATCCACGTCTCTCAAATATTCTCTTCCACAGAAAAGCATTAAACAGACAAATGAGTATAACAAATGTCTGTGATCCATTCTTAGCGGCAATTAAGACACATATTATGCGTCCTTAAGAAATCACTATTTAGATACACACTGCTTCTGCCAGGACTATTTCTAACCTGCCTCGTGGAGGCCAAACTACACATTTATAGAAAAGACTAATGTCATCTGAGCCTTCTTTACACCCTCCCATTTACCTCTCTAACCACCAAACTAAGGGTTAGTTTAACAGTTAACAACAAAAGCAGAAAACAAAGTACACACACATACCCTAAGAAAAACTACAGACTATTCCAAATATCTCCCCCCAAACTGTTAAGAATGTGTTTCGAGTGCCTTTTCTTTGAGGCCTCTGAAAACAGATCCCAGATCTGAAACCCTACCCAGGGGGAGTTGCAATCACCCATGAATGGGTGAGCTCAGACCGTATTCTAGCCAAATGCAGCTGTGGTTTAGAAAGGAGCTGTTCTTTGCAAGACAGCGGCACCGGACGGACTGTGCCAGCTTTCTTTCCCACGGGGGAGAGAATTTGTACTTGATGAATAACTTGCTCCATGCCCCAGTAGAAGGAGACATATTTAAGTTTGGCTACAGACATGGAGACAAATTTCAAAATTTTTTAGACTTCTCTTTGAAATTGAAAATATGCAGTCTGGTCATTAGCAACAAAGTCCAAACATACTGAACGGAAAATTAACAGCATACGATTCCATTCCCTTTCACCTCAAAAGCTGCAATTATTTCGAACGCTTGGGCAGGGTTGCCAAGAAAAGTCAAGCTGGAACTCAAGTTTCTGACTCAAAGCCTGAACTGGGTGGCGAGTGTCCTTTATTCCTTTTCAGAAGGACAGCTCATGTGTAAGCCTAGGACTGTATCTTTGCCCTGTAACAAGGGGGAGCTTCGGATTTCAAAAGAAGGGAATCACAAGGAAAGGTCATTGTTTTTATTTCCAGAGTCAAGGACAACAAAGGGAGTGACATTCACGCTTGTATCCCATCTAGGGAATGAAGCCTTAAGAATTACCCAGAAATGTTTAAAATTCACTTTGAAAAATAGGAAGTAATCCAGGTTGGGTAAAACACCAGTCACATAATACTGAAAAGTCACCCGATTTGCCATTTGATGCCTGAAAAGGTATCCAAAATCCTATCGGGACATTCGAGTTCCTGGAAAAAATGGTCTCTCTTTGTAACAAGGTTGTTTAGGACAGAGAGACGCGGGGGGTAGTCTTCACTATGAGCAAAGTCACCAGAAAGCAGCTCTGGGCCCATCTGCTCTCTGCCCACCCCCAACTGGGTGGGGAGTCAGAGCCAGCCGTCCACGTAATGGACCTGCTTGAAGGATGAGGGACACTTTCTAAATACTTGAACTCAGCAGTGCCAGGGATTCTTTCAAAACTTCGGGCAGTGTAGCAACAAGTCTGGGAGCTCAGGGCCAGAAGAAAGTGCAAGTGTTTCAAAAATCTAAGAACGGGAGCTTATGAAATCTTTCCTGGTTTCACAAATATGTCCATATTGTGCCCTCCCATGCGCCCCGACCCCATGCCTGTAGCACTTGCTCCACAGCCTCTGAAGATACGGCTGAGAGGGGAAAGAAGGGGAAAGGAGAGGAGGTCGGGGAGCCGCGGGAAGGCCTGGCTGGGGTCCCAGGAGTCCTACCGCTTCGACCCTCCTGCGTGGTGACACCTGCCGGAGGCAGGTAGACCAGCCTGCCCTCCAAGAGCCTTCCCGAGACCATCCTCAGAGGTCTTGCCCCCGCCGGGCCTGCAGCCCCGGAGACGCCTAGAGTCCTAGAGACCGCGCTGAGCTTTGGGGCTATAACCCCGCCCGACCCCGATAAGCAAGCTGAGCCCCGAGCCCAGAGCGCTCCTCCGCGGGCCAGGTACGGGGAGTCCCCAGGGCTCCGGCACCTTCCCCGGCGGGGCCACACTTACTCTCCGAGTCGCTGAAGCCGCTGCTGTCGCTGACGCTGGCGCTGCTCCGCCGCTTCATGCGCTCCAGGTGCTCTTCGTAGTGGAAGTGGCGCTCGTGGAAGGGCGACGCGAAGTCGGCCAGCACCGCATCAAACTCGCACAGCGCGTCGCTCAGGTCCCCCGCGTCGGCCGAGTCCAAGGCCGGGGCTGGGGAGGGACGGCGGGCTCAGGTGAGGGTGGGGTGGGGCGGCCGTCCCACCCCGGGCCCGGTAGGGGCCGCACGGTTCCCAAGGATCGCTAACTAACGCTGACCGCGCGCTGGCCCGGGGACAGCCCGGCTGTCGCTGCCCGTTGCTCGCTGTTATCTTTTAATACTCACCACCACCCCCTGAAGTGCGCCTTGGTGTCGCGCCCGTTTTCGAGATAAAGAAAGTGAGCCTCGACCCGGGGAAGTTGCAGGCCAAAGGTCACGCATCTAAGTGACACAGCCGAACTCTTTCCCACGCGCTGTCGGGGACTCTTCCCCGCGTTCGCTCCCCGGGGGCGCGTGTGAACCGGGTGGCGGTGGGAGGACTGAGTCAGGATGCGCCCGTGACGTGTCGGGCTCGGACCCCCAGCCCCGCGTGGGGAGGAGGCTGAACCCGCCCCGGGGCAGAGTCCCGACGGTGAGGCTGGGGGAGGGATGAAACGAGACGACGCGGGATTCCGCTTCTTTCGCGCAAGGCCCCGGCTTTAAGGAGACCCCCACTCACTTGCGGCCGCGGCGGCCGCGGGGCTGCCCTGCACGGCTGGCGGCTTCATGGGCGGGCTAGGCCCGGCGCGCGTCGGGGGGTCCTGCGAGGTCTGGGCGCGGGATCGTGCAGGCGCTCCCGCTGAGGCCGTCCGTCCCCTCTCCTCGTCCCGCTCTGCCTGTCCCCTAGTCCGGCTGCGCTCCCGCCGCGCAGCTGCCTGCGCCGTCCGCCCGCCAGATCTTTCCCGGGCCGCAGCCACCAGCAGTCCCAAGGTCTTATAGCCGCGGGCGGGGGCGGGCCGGGGCGGGGCCACGGGAGCCTGGCCGCCGGGTCTGTCCCTGTCGCCGCGCCAGAGACGCCCCTGTCCCCCAGGCACCGCCCTCGCCACGCGCCCGCTGGGGAACCGCAGTGACGCGGAGTCGCCGGAGCCCAGGTTACAGCCCCAAATATTTACCCGCCGCCTTCCCCGCGCGCCCTGACAACGCGCCCCACGAAAGTAGCTTTGGCGACACCAAGGCCCCAAAGGGTTTAGGGCTGGTGTTCGGCTGATTCCCGCCCTGTGCCCTGAAGCTCCACGAGCCTCAGTTTCCTCATCTGTGAAATGGAAATGCTGAGTCTCCTGGGTTTGTTGCGAAGAATAAAGTAGGCGAAAGCCGTGCAAGACCCAGACCCATATGGGAGCCGCAGAGGGAGTCTCCCGCGCGTCTCCTCCCCATTGCCCCCAAGGGACTTGAGGGTTGCGGGCGGACAGAGTAGAGAGGGTAGGGGGCCAGAGGGACAAGTCGGTGGAGTCCAGGAGTTGACGAACCTTCATTGTTCCCATCCCCGAGCCCCAGAGCCTGACTACGGTCCTGGGTGTTCACTGCAGCCCCGACTTTGTTCAGGAGAAGTTTAAGAGAACAAATTACTGCGTAGAGGGAGAGCCGCCTGGCAGGGGACGAGTCCTGACCGTGAAAGCCCTGCACGTTGCGCTGCCCGATGCGGTAGCCACTTGCCACGGGTGGCTTCTTAAATGCAAAGCAACTAAAGTAGAATAAAATGACGGTTTCAGTCCCTCAGTTGCACTAGACACATATCGAGTGCTCAACAACCATCCTCGCTCAGAGTGCTATTGGACCGCGCTCCCAGTGTCTCTGACCCACAAACCGGTCTCAGAGGGAAAGGAGGCATCTTACTGCGGTTATCAAGGGCCTCCTAGGGCAGGTCTTGGCATTCACCGTTTCCAGGCCCACAGCAACCCTGAGAGGTAGAACTACTGCTTCTGTTCTACACAGGAGGAAACTGAGGCACAGAGAGGTTAGGTGATAAGCTAGTCACATACTGATGGAAAGGCAGGTCTGACGGAAGCAACCTCGGTGCCCATCAACAGATGAATGGATAAAGAAGATGTGGCACATATACAATGGAATATGACTCAGCCATCAAAAGGAATGAAATTGAGTTATTTGTAGTGAGGTGGATGCACCTAGAGTCTGTCATACAGAGGGAAGTAAGTCAGAAAGAGAAAAACAAATACCATATGCGAACACACATATATGGAATCTAAAAATAAAATGGTTCTGATGAACCTAGGGGCAGGACAGGAATGAAGACGCAGACGTACAGAATGGACTTGAGGACACGGGGAGGGGGAAGGGTAAGCTGGGACGAAGTGAGAGAGTGGCATGGACATATATACACTACCAAATGTAAAATAGATAGATAGTGGGAAGCAGCCGCATAGCACAGGGAGATCAGCTCAGTGCTTTGTGACCACCTAGAGGGGTGGGATAGGGAGGGCGGGAAGGAGATGCAGGAGGGAGGAGATATGGGGATGTATGTATATGTATAGCTGATTCACATTGTTATACAGCAGAAACTAACACAATACTGTAAAGCAATTATACTCTAATAAAAATGTTAAAAAAAAAAAAAAAGGCAAGTCTGTATGGTTTCAGAGCCATTTTGGGCTTCACCACATCCTCCCTTTCTCCACAGTGTAAGGTGGAGAACCGAGTAGACAGGAGGAAGAGGTTCCAAATAAGAGTGCAGATAACCCAGGTCCTTGAAGCAACAGTCAAGGCACGTGCATCTTTTTACTTCCTTTTCCCACCTCCCTTATTAAATTCTTTTTTCTCTCCTCGTGCTCTTTGACTTGCTGTGGTACCCACTGGGGATGCCCTGGGATAACGGAGCAGCAGCCGGTCTGGGAGCTGAGGCCAGGGGGCTACCTTCCAAATGAAGCTCTCCTTCTTTGGTCAGGCTGGGATGTAGGGTGGTGGACACCCCAGCCCAGCTCTTGCATGATGGCTCAGGGGCCCTCTCAGCTAAAGAATCAGTTAAGCTGATCTTCAAAAGAGCCTACAGAACAGCCCCACTTTTTAACAGCCATGCCAATTTACTAAAAGAGTGACAGTGAAGATCACCTATTTCTACCAGGAGAAGTTGGTTGGTTGATGTCTTCTGCACCCCATTGTAAGGGAACTCCCTTGCCCAAGCGCTGGGGAGATGAATGGGCAGGGGCCTCAACTCAAAGTGTCACCACCTCTAGGACGGTGTCACTTCCATTATGGAGAACTACTGCTCCCTCTCTTTCCTAATTATAATATGAACGTACAGGAAAATATAGAGAATTCAGTAATAGCACTCTGTGTACCCACCAATGAGAACTAACACATGTTAATATTTTGTCATTTTTGCTTCAGATTTTTTTGAGATGTAACTTATATATGATATAGTATGCAAATCTTGAGTGCAGTTTGGTAAATTCCTACCTATATATACACCTGTGTAATTACTATCCAGATCAAGATGTAGTATTTTGTCATCACCCCAGAAGGGTTCTCTATGCCATTTTGCAGTCAATAGCACCCCATAAGTAACCCCTATGGTAACCCCTGTTCTGAATTCTGTCACCAGGAATTACTTTTGCCGACTAAAACTCCTTAAAATCATACTGTATGTATTCTTTTCTATCTGGCTGCCTTTGTTTAACATAATGTCCAGGAGGTTCATCCGTGTTGTTGCGGTATGAATCCGTCCTCCTGTTGGTGGAGATTTGAGTTGTGTTGCTACCGTTGCTACCGTAATGTAGTGCAGCAAGGAGTATTCTTGCACATGTCTCCCAGTGTATAAGAGTAAGAGTCTCTAGGGTATATATCTAGAAGTAGAATAACCAAATGGTATGAGTATCTCTAGTCATTGGCTAGTATGAATAAAGCTGCCGTGTACAGCATGGGCATTTCTTTTGGTGCACATAAATACTCACTTCTCTTGGGTTTATACCTAGAAGTGAATTTCGGAATCACAGGATAGGCATCTGTTTAGCTTTTGAAGATACTGCCAAAGAGTTTTCTGAAGTGGTTGAATGAATCTACATTCCCGCCAGCAATGTAGAGGAACCCCAGTTGTTCCATATTTGTGTCAACACATGATACTGTTAGACTCACTCATTTTAGCCATACTGGTAACTGTGTACTAACATCTTACTGTGGGTTCTTTTTTCTTCTTCCTGTAGCTTTAATTCACATTTCCCTAATAAGTAATTAAATTGACCACCTTTTCATATGCTTCAAACATTTCTTAAGAGAAATAGGACAATGCAGAAAAAGTTGAAATCCCCTTTTTCATCCTTCCAAGTCCTATCCGCTCCCTCCCCAGAGAGGAGCATTACCATGAATTTGGTAAGTACCCTCCCAGTCCACGTTTTTGTACCTAAACTATATTTATATGTTCATATTAAGAAATATAGTATTACTTTGTATGGTTTTTAAATTTACATAACTAATGTGAACATGCTCTGTTTTCATTCAACTTTGTTTTTACATACGTTGGTACATACAGATCTAGTTTATTCAACTAGATCTAGTTTATTTATTTTTATCTGCCAAATAGAATTGTATTGAATGACTACAGAGTAATTTATTTATCCACTCTCAAGTTGATGGACACTTGGGTTGTTTCCAATCTTTCTCTCTCACAAACAATACTTAGCTAACATGCTCTTACCTATCTCTTAGTGTACACATGCGAGTCTACTTCTCTGTTCACCTTGAATCCTTTCCTAGAACCAGACGAAAGGCAAAAGTTAAACCCTCTGACCCTTGAGGCTTCTGGCTGGGTTCCATTTTCTATTCCAGGGCTTCCTGTGGTCCCCAGTCACCTGATCATAGTGATGACGATGGTAAGTAACCTCACCGTTCAGATGTGACCTTTTCCCTCACTGAGGAGGGCTGGGGAGCCTTGTCTTTCATGAACCCTGAACCTACATTAACCATAAAATCTTTACACTACAGTTTATACATATTTCAAGTTACAGAGGTCATTCATTCACACAGGTCTCCTTTGAGAAAAAAACTTGAGGTAGCTATAATTTTGAAACAGGAAATCAGAACTTCTTATATTTTTAAAGACCAGTTCTTTATCTTAATTGGCATCTCTTCCCCTTGTACACTGTTAACCACTGTCTCCTTAAAGTTTTTCTTGAATATCCATCTAATCACCTCACCATTTCTTCTCAGGGCCCTGTTGAATCCTCCTTTTTTTTTTTTTTTTTTGCAGTACGCGGGCCTCTCACTGTTGTGGCCTCTCCCGTTGCGGAGCACAGGCTCCGGACGCGCAGGCTCAGCGGCCATGGCTCACGGGCCCAGCCACTCTGAGGCATGTGGGATCTTCCCGGACCGGGGCACAAACCCATGTCCCCTGCATCGGCAGGTGGACTCTCAACCACTGCGCCACCAGGGAAGCCCCTGAATCCTCCTCTTCATAATTAAAGTCTGAGTCCCCTACAGGTCTCTCCTTGATCTTTTCTTCTCATCTATACTTTTGCCAGGCTATCTCATCCCTTCTCAAGATTGTAACTAACATTTATAAGTTTTCAAATTTTTATTTCCAGATGAGATTTTATTTTCTCCTTAAGTCTCCTATAGCCAATCATCAAAAACTCCTAGCATTCCTTTACAGACACTGTGCAGAAGAAACTTCTGTTTCCTAATATCAGCTCTCCCCTTCGGACCCATGGATTCCTGAAATAAAGACTGTATTTCCCAACCTCCCTTGCAGCTGGGAGTGGTCATGTGACTTGATTCTGGACCACAGGCTTTGAGCAGAGATAGTCTATGCAAACCTCTAGAATGTAATCTCAAGGGAAGGGGGCAGGCACCCTCGTCCTTGCTTCTCCCTGATGGATAGAAGACAGACTTGCAGCTGGATTTCACAGCATGAGGTGGAAGCCATATATTGAGGATGGTGGCAAAAGGATAGAAGCATCCCAGATCCTGATGTCTTGATGCCTCCA